TGGATACGTCTTCCCCAAGTGCCAAGCCGGGCGCCAGGGGGAGCTTCTGGCGCGCAGCCCTACGCGTGGATCGGCTAACCGGCAACGTGTGCTGACACTAGATTATGTACTAGCGCGCCGCTGGTATGGGACTGTGGAAGTCGTTGACGTAGTTGATATGAAGTTTGCGAATGAAAGAAAGAGAAGAATCACTCTTAGCCACGATGAAGGGTCGAAGGAGATCGAGATCGCCACAGGTTTTGGAGAAAATCTTACTGAGAGCTTGAAAACACGGAAATTGAATGAAGATGTGTTTCAAAAAGAAAAAAATGAAGACAGAAACTTAAAGGCCGCTTATCACTATGGCCCAAGTAAATTAGTTTGAGATGTGTTCTCATGCCTAGTCGTCGAGATGAAGATATTGTGATTGCAAGTGTTGCCAAGGCTCTTCAAGTAGCTGGGTCGCTTAGCTCCCGTAATGGAGATACTAGACAGAGCTGTTTTGTCATCAGCTATGTTCTGGTCGAACTTGAACATCATCTTTGAATAAAGGTGTAAACCTCCATGAAACCTTTAAAGTCAGCCATGATCAATATCCTGCCCGCTTTTTGGCGGGGTGGCATATTCATCGCCGGCGGCGATATGATGGATTAAAACCTATCACATATAAGTCGGTAAGAGATCTTTGATCACTGCCTTCAGTCAGAGACAATTTGCTGATGAAGCTGATCGTCGCGTGTAGTTGACTCTTAGAGCTAAGGCCAGCCTGTAGACCTTGACTTTCCCACTTCAAAAGAAGGCAATAAGAAGTTCTTGAATTGAGGTGACGTTCACGCTTAGACCTGTTGGGCTTTCAGGGGTTCACCACAATCTCACCCAAGTCCCGAATGATCCGACAGATGAAGGTTGACGTCGCTCGAGTCTGTTTGGACTTCAACGCTTAGTACTTTATTAAGTAAAGACTTAACTCCAACGCTGTGCTAAACCTGCGCCATATTTCTCTCGCCTTCGACACATCGAGGGCTTATGTGATAGTTGAGGGCATGAATCAATGTGCCGTCACCTCCAGCTCCACGTCCCAAACTGACAATATCACAACAAAGCCGCCCAGAAACCCTCACTTTCTGACCCAGCATCCCGAAAACGCAACCCTGACAAACGTAGGCTCTGTCCGATTCGACCCCCAAATATCCTTCAAGAAGTCGGCGCAATGCTCCGTGTGGTACGAGTTGACGATAACACCGTCAAAGACCCTCCGCTCCTCGAACATGGTCCAGAATTGCTTCTTCCAAAGCATCGAGCAATGGTTGACGTGATCCGCGATGGACGTGTAGTACGACTCCTGATCTCCCATTTCCTCTCTCGTCAGGCGCTTCGTCAAGTTGACGCTATGTAAGTGTCGCAGGATCAGCAGACTGTTCTCCACCAGAAACGAAGGTTCAGACCAGGGAAGAGAACTTACTCCGAATACGCGTGCCAGGTATCGTCATCCATGTACTCCGTCTCAAACTCCTTGTCGTAACACTGCTCTGGTACCCAGTGGTTCAGCAACGTGTCGTATTTGCACCCCGCTTTCTTCGCCTCCGCCGTCGAGTTCCCGCACATCACCAACTTCGCCTCGGATGTCATGTTGTGGGTGGCCGCGAGGTACTTCGGGTCTGGAATCGTCCCCGCTTTGCCGTCCTGTCCAACTTGCGGCAGCGGCAGCGGCAACCCCGACATCGATGGCGGCGTCGGCATCATCGCTGCTGTGCCTGGTGACGGTGTCGATGGAGCCTGCTGTTGAGGCCCGGGTATGAATGAAAACGCAAGTACCCAGACCAGAGAAGTCGCCAGAAACACGAGGAAGTCCCTCAACCACCTCCTCGTCCTCGACGTCTTCAGCGCATGCTGTTGGTGTAGCATCGCATTGCCGCCCGTGACGCCCTGCTCCTCCTCGTCGTCCGCAGAATTCCTCTTGTTCGGGTCATCGCGAAAACCCAGAAAGGGCTGGTGGTCTTCGTTGTCTGTTTCGGGCTTCATCATGCTCTGTGGGGAATGTCGAAGCAGAAAAAATGATGCGCGTCGATCGTGTTTGATCTGGAGTAGGGAAACAATACTTTAAATTTCGCCGCTGAAGAAACAACTAGACCAGCCCAACGCTTTTACTGGCAATTTTTAGGACTTCGCCTCCTGCCTTTACTGCTATGCACGACATGAACCTAAGCGTGCGCGCTGTTTTATGTAGCCATGCGAGCGTTTTGGACGCCAGACCAATCCGGTTTCAGAATCATCCGAAGAGTCGACGCTCGTCCCAAGGTCTGCTGTTTTTTCTACCCTATGATCGGGCCTCGTGGCCGGGATGAGCAGAACCAAGAATGGTGCGAAACATGGTTGAGACGTTTTTACTACAACCACTGGCATGTGTTCTTGATGAGTGCACTGCCCGAAAGTGATCTTGTCGATCATTTCGCCTGCGGGAGTGCTCCGGCGATCCGGTCCTTCTTCCCCGAGTACTGCCTCCGATTGTGGGGCCGTATGATCGGCTGCACCGCCCTGATGGAATGGCCCACTGTATCGCTATCCAGGCCAGCAGTATCTCGACATATGAATTCTCTTTAAACCTTGGCGTTGTGGTTCACCTCAACTTGCTCCGCATCAGATTGAGGACGGTCAGTCTGGCCGAACCCCTCACCGTCGCTGTCAGAGCCATGCAGCTCCCCGGGAAGTCTATCCTTGACAAGCAACGAAGCCCAAGTAGTGGCAGGAACAGCAACATAGAAAACAACCACAGAGACAATCAGGTTGGTCATCAAAGACGCACTGCGCACTGAGCCGACTGCATACGACAGCGCCGAGCCAACGGACTCTCCTGAGCGAAGGACACCCATAGACAACGCAATGGTATCCGCTTCGACATCGAAAGTGCCGAGAACCCAGTAAAGCCAGACTCCGACAGTCTCGTAAGCAATACTGATAACACATGTCAGAACAAAGGCTTCATAGGGTGTTCAAGATGTTGGCTTACCGGTAGAGGATGAAGATGGCAACTCCTTCCCCGAAGCTGGGGCTGCTCCAGTCAATCTCGCCGGGACTCTCACGCTGCCAACGCTCCTGAACCACGATGTTCCAAATCCAGACGAGCGTGAACAGGGCCAGTAAGAAGTACCAACTCCAGCGTGCTTGAGTCGTTCGACGCAGGTGCTTCGTGTCTAGCCACCACCCGGCGAGGAGGTTGGAGATGGCACCGACAATTGCGATCAAGAAACCAGAGAGCGTGCGCGCACGTACGGTGAAGTATGCTGCCATGTAGTTGCCCTGGTACGTGACGCCCCATTGCGCGGTGATGAAGGCCGGGATCAACAGCAGCACCTCTTTCCGTCTAAATTGCGCGAGAAATGCTTTGAGTTGCACCATGAAAGAGCGCTGAGAGTTGGCGAAGACAGGCTTTCTTCCGTCCTTGCGGATGAGCTTGTCTGGAGGGGCGATTAAGAGAGAGAGAGGAAGGCCCAGGCATTGTATGGCGACAAGGACGAGGTAAGTCGAGGGCGCGATCGCGCCGGTTGTGTCGCCGTCCTTGTTTATGGCGAGTTGAATTGCGGTCGCAATGATGGAGCCGAGTTTGCCTAGGGCCATCCAGATGCTAACTAGATTAGACGTTGATGTCAGATATCCTCTATGATAGGTCAATAAGTTTTATTGAAGGCGTACTGCAGGTGCCTCTCCGAGCAACTTCAGGATAGCCAACCGCAATCGCTGCCTCGCCGGGCCAGAGAGCAGCTGCCTGTACTAAAGTCAGAAAAGCTTTTCTGGATGTTGATGGGTATGGATGAGCGAACCGAGAAGCCGCATGTGACAGCGCCAAAGATAAGGAACCATTGGGTACCCCAAAGAGAGTTGCAGTACAGCGCAGCAGAGTAAGGCACATAGCCCAGGGTTCCGAAGACGACAATCCACTTCAGACCGATCAGGTTGCCGACAATGCTTGCCAACGGAGAAAAGAAGACCATGATACTGCAACGTAGTTAGCACGATCTTATTCTCAAGGTTTGAGTGTTCTGAAGACTTACACAAACGTAATGACGTTGACAGCATTGACGATGTAAGGCTCGGCTTGGCCGCCAGCACCGAGATCTGGATAATGTTTTAGCAATCAAGAGTAAGGAAGAGTTGAAATCCTGACCCACTGTTCATAGCGGCCCATATTCCAGGTTGCGTGAAGCTGATGAGACCCAGGAGCACGGCTTGGAAGATCGTCCCGCGGTAGACGTCGTGGGTCTTGCTCCATAGCGTTGGAGACTCGGCAGTGATTTGCGCCATGGTGGTTCGTCTTGATCTTAGAAAAGAAACGACCTTTCAAGATCATTAAACGGAGAAAGCTTGGGCATTTTATCGAAAATTCGAACAAACCTGAGCATATCTCAAGCGAGCCGCCACGGCGCGATAACGGCATTGCGCTATGGCAGGACTCGATGGTATCACTGCACCAAGTGGATGCCACCCGTCAAGTCGATCTAGACCAGCTACCGAATTCTCCATCTACTTTCCGATGCGACGTTCTACAGGCAATAGAGTGGAAACAAACGAAGAAAAGCGCCGAGGAACTGGTGCAGTGGCATGGGTGGTTTTTCCCGATATCTACCCGACCAGCAGTCACGTCATATCCCTTGTCGAATCATCATTTCTCAAAGGCCAGCCAACAGGCGCAGTTTGCCGTTCTGGGTGATGTTAATTCTCCGACTGCGTCCAGTTGTAAGCACAAATTGTGTTGGGTACATAAAAGGATTAATTGCACGTGGGGTCCGAAACCGCGAAGGATTTATTGACCTCTCAAAATGGTCTTTTCCAAAAGCCACATCAACCTGACAACTGTACTTCATGTGGACAGAAGATTCGATAATCACAGCAACGCCGCGTAGATATTCCTGAAATTTCAAGGGGAACAAACATTACTATTATGATATTTGTTCTAAGCAGCGCTCGATACAATTAGTGTCTTGAAAGCTCTCATCATCGTGGAGTTTGACCCTGAACCCGCCGCCTCACAAGTAGACATAGCAGAAAGGCCCGGCAACCGTGCTCATGGCATCTCTGATCTTCAGCGGCTCACCACCAACCCACCCATACTCCAAGAGGTCGTCCATAGTGGTGTTGGCACTGGGAGGTTGGTCCAGGAAGGTGTTGGTGCCGCTCAAGGCGATGTCGCCATACTGACGCTCTTGAGGAGACAGCATCTGCCACATCCACCACACTCGGTCAATCATGGAGTGGTGGAGGTAGAAGGCAGGGTCGCCTGGGGAGGTAAAGACATCTCTTCCTGGGTCTCCACCACTGTTCGCGTTGTTAGAAATTCGCGCGTTTAGAAGTTCGTTCATCTCTGACAAGACTTACAGAGCGTAGTGACCACCACCGTGGATACCAATGTTGCCTGAGCCAGGGACTCCCTGCATCTGCATTTGGAAGTCCTCCACATTCTGGGGGTTGATGATGTTGGAGAGAACGGCGGTGATGTTCGCATAGGAAAGGTTGATGTCGGTGGTGAGATCGCGTTTGAGGCAACGGGGGTTATAGGTCAGGGGGCCATTGGGGTTGGCCTCAGAGACACCTCCTGGGAGATCGAGAGCGGCAGGTCCAAGATTGACAGTCATGTTCTTGAACGGCCCAGAGGTAACACAGCCTCCGCCAGTACCAACAGGAAGTACGATGGGAGGCAGGTCGTTCTGACCTGTCAAGATGATGTCTTCCCGGTCAGGAATGAATTCACCATTTCCAGACATTGACGTCTCACTTCCATCGAAGATGGGAGACTTCTCCATGCCCGTGACGGCGGTTTTCGTCCAGTCCCAGTACTGAAGAGCGACACGTTGAAGTCAGCAGTGCGACACTTGCCAAAATTGGTATGGGGAAGTTCTCACCGGCTGAGTGCCCTTGTAGCCGCACTCGTTTCTCAGCGCTTCTTCATATTGCCAAGTAAAGTACCTGTGCCAAGAGAGAAAGTTGGCCGTGTAGTGAATGGTCAGGGTCTGGTTGATGTGAGTTGCGACGAAATCGTCAAAACGAGTTTTTGCTCCTGCAGCCACAGAAGAAGGCGTCAGGGCAGGCTTGGACTGCAGACACTTGACAGCGTTAATGTAGTCAAGTCTCTCCTGTCGGCTCAGCGTTCCCCTAGTTAAAGAGCGTGTCAGCTTGGTTGGTTGACGATTCCTGGGTTACACTGGACTCAGTGATACGTACCACTCGCGCCTGACTTTGACATTGTACCAGGAACAAGTGCCCCCTCGCCTCTGAACCTCGCCACCTTCAATCTCAGATTCGGTCTTGTCAAAGGCAGATTGAGCGAGTGCGGCAAGCTGTTCGTTCTCACTTGCTGGCACCGGGTTGCCGAGCACAGCAGAAGCTGCCTGAAGGGCGATGAAACCAAGAAAGGAAGAACGCATCCTGAATTCACTCCAGTACTAGTCTTGTGGGTTGAGAAGACTGTGTCGACCAAAGTGGAGGAGAGGCGAGGCGAAAAGAGAGTCGGAGGACGCTGGCTGAAGAACGGAGGAAAAGAAACGATGAGACGCTGACGCCCTCAGGTAAAGATATATGCGAAGCCAGAGAACCCTTACCGACACGTTCGGACTCCTGCAGCCAAGAAGGCAACGAAGACCGAAACTAAGAACTAGCGACATGCAATTGCTTATTCGACCACTCAAAGGTGGAGATTTCGGGCCCGACGAGTCAATGTAGACATGCAGTCTAGGCCATGCAATGCAGGCACGTCGCATCGCCACATAGCAAACATCAAGGGTCTAAAATCTCACGGCAACGGGGCGCCGGAAATCGTAGATATGAAGAGCCCTGCCCCGCAGGGATCGCGGAGGCGGGAGCCTGCGCCGAAGGTGTTTGCTGGCTTTGGCAGGGAATTCGTCCAGATAAACCAGTCGCGAGCCCGGTTGCGGAGGTTGTCCCCCTGTTTTGGAGAGGAAGCCGATTGGAAGAGCGTTGGGCCAGCCGAGATAATTAGATTGGGTTACGAAGACCAACAACTCAGCACCAACAGCCAAGCGAATATCGTGCGATGGTGACCGCCTCTGAGGGTCCGGTTGGACATCGCACAACTCCACCGAGAACCAACAGACAAAAGATAGCAGGAAATGAATTTCGTCTCATTTCCTGTTGCCTCAATGGGTATGGAGTTCACACCGGTATCCATAATAATCCTTGCGGCCCCTAGTTATCGTCAACAACAGGATGTTGCAAGAGAACATGGGTGAAGAGACCAACAGCATATCGCGCAAGCATTTCCTAGACGAGATCATATTCCAAATTTTGCATGTTGTTGGTTGCGCATGGTCGAGAACAGGAGTTGTTGCTTCGGAACACGACCGAGACTTATGAAGTGGCGAGCATCGCACTCCTGGCCCTATGGGAGATGGGGAGGCTCGATTGACGACAAACTGCAAACATCTTCACCGGAAGTCTGCCAGCCTTTTCTGAAGAATCAGAAACTTTCATTCAGCTCTCAAAAGCCTCGACGCCATCGTTATGGACTTGATTTCCAACCCAGAAGATGATGAAGGGGCCAAGATATTAGCAGCGACACTGCCAGTAACAGCAGTGGCCTTAATCGTTGTTCTTTCTCGAATCTACGTTCGAAGTCATGTTATCCGGAATTTTGGTGTTGATGTGTGTTTTAATCTCGTTTCTTTTGCTACCTAAGACAGCCGTGCTGACAAGCTCTTGTCACAGGATACAATCATGACCATTGCGATGGCGATCTCCGTTGCTGGCGAGGCAGTAATTATTCCTCAAGTTCACTACGGCGCAGGCCGCCATAGCGGAGACGTGGAGGAGGCAATCTTCACGGTCGGGGTCAAACTCAACTTTGTCTCTCAACTGCTGTATTTGACTGGTATTTGCATGGTCAAAATAGCTGTTGGCTGCTCACTGCTACGAATCGCCGCGAAGAAAATTTACAAACACACAATTGCAAGCATCATGACATTCATGACTCTATATACGGCCGTTTGTTTCATAGTAAGTGTGCTCGATGGTTCATATCGTATCCTAATACTTACCACTGGCTTGACAGACTCTACTTGCTCAATGCACCGACATTCGATTCATGTGGGATAAATCGGTCGACTCTACCTGCTGGTCCATCGAGGTTCTGCAAGGGCTGAGCTACGCCAACGTCACGCTCAACATTCTCACCGACCTCCTGTTTGCTACGATACCGATACCAATGCTCTGGGGCCTCAACGTGCACCGCAGGGCTCGCATATCCCTCGTTGCCGTTCTCGGTCTTGGTGTCTTTGCCTGCGCAGCTGCCTGTGTTAAGTCTGTCTACATCGTCAACTATGGCAAGCTTGGCGATGTCCTTTGGGACTCGAGGAATATCACGATATGGACCGTGGCCGAGATGAACGTTGGAATCATTGCCGGTAGCCTTGCTACTCTTCGACCGATATTTAAGCGTTTTCTGGGCAGCATGTACGGAAAAGGTTCAAAGTCACCTTCAGGCGCTGGATATTATGCTCGTAGAGAGTTACGCAGTGAGACTTGGAAGGCTTTGAGCAGTAGCGAGGAGGCAATCAATGCCTCCGAGGGCCATGAGCTTGGGAGAATAACACATACTGCGATGGCGGTGAAAGAAGGGGTGGAGGGGCACAGAGTGGTCAATGATGAGTCAAGGAACAGTGGTGGCGGGATCACCAAGACGACAGTCACAAAGGTGACATTCTCAGACGTCGACAAAGTCTAGTTTATCCTATCGGTTTCCGTGTTGTTCGTGTATGCGATGCGTGGTCATCCGCTTAAGCGTTGGAGCAGAATCAACTTTTCCACATCTTCATCTTCTCGTTGGTAGAGTCTCGCTGTATCGGAACCCCCAAAGCCTCATAAACCTGAGCCACATACTCTCTGACCGCAGCGTTGCCCGCGGTGCCAGGATCCATCTTATTCATCGCATAGCTAATCGTGATGTGACGGTCAATGTCGTTGACCGTCATCGAGCCACCCCAACCACCCCAGAAGCAAAGTCTGCCCTCAGGGATCCAGGAGTCAATGATGGCATCTCCGTTGCCTCTGATGCCCAGACCAGTACCAAAGCGGACCACTTGACCTATAGCCAGATCCGTGCCGTATGCCTGCTCCTCAAAGATTAGATCGATTGTTTCCTTCGACAGCAGTCGCTTGCTTTTGTCGCTAATTGTAGCTGCCTTGGACCAAATAGTCGCAAGACCCTTGCTGTTGGTGTGTCCATTTGCCGCACCGATCTCAGCTTTCCTCCACTCTGGTGAGTTGCCAAAAGCGGCATCCGGGAAGGGGTTGAACATCTTTGCCATGAGTGAGTCGGGAGGGGGCATCTCCGCTTCGCTGGGTGGAACGAAAGGCGGAGGAGGAACCAACTCCGCAACACGGGGCCAGTCTTCCTCTTTGGCACCGATTTGAAAATCCGCACCAACGGGTCCAGCAATCTTCTGAGCGACAAATTCCCTTAGGCTCAGACCCGTGATCCTGCGAACAAGCTCGGCGATCGGGTAGCCGTATGTCCAGGAGTGATAGCCGGAAGCCGTGCCGGGTGTCCAGCGCGGAGCTTGCTGCGCAATCCTGGAGGTCATGAGCTCAGAGTTACAGAGGTCTGCCACTACTGCGGGCGCCTCCAGAATAGCCAGTCCGGAAGTGTGCGAAATCAGGTGGCGAACAAGAACGTCTTCCTTTCCGTTGACGGCAAATTCAGGCCAGTACTTGGAGACCTTGTCATTGGGAGATAGTTGGCCGTCGTTGATGAGCAAGAGGATGGCGAGAGCGGAGATGGTCTTGGTTGATGACCAGACGTTCACGATGGTGTTTTCTTCCCAGGGACGTGTGCGGGCTGCGTCGGCAAATCCACCCCAGATGTGGACAACGTCTTTGCCATCGATAGTGACCGTGAGCGAAGCCCCGAGTTCTTCTCCTGACTCCACGAACTCCTGGAATTTGGCGCGGACCCGTTCAAACTTGGGATCGCAGGTACCGTGTGCTTGAGCCATAGTGATTTGGTGATTAGAGTTGTTAGAAACTGATGTTGGCGAGGTAAAAGTTGAAGACAAGAGTGTGGTCCACACTAAAAGGGATGACGATCTCTTTAAAGCTTTTGGCAACTTCGAGTTAACAGATGCGGACTGGTGCCCTTGAAGAGCGGAGTTGCGGGTTGAACGAGGGGAAGTCAAACTCCGCCCGGACGGACGATCGGCCGTTTACAAACCGCGAAGGTATTAGTAGCGGGACAATCCCTCGGTTTCAGTTCCAACTTCCCCATAACAGGGTTCCATCTTGGACGGGTCCTGGCGGCCGCTCCAGTTCACTCACTGAAGTCACTGTGGAGTTGTGGAGATACAGTGAGAAAGCGACCCCTGTCTAGGTCGATCGTTCTCACCAAAATGATTCGTCAACCTACTCTCAGCGCAGCAGGCTGCATCCTTCGCTTCACATGCAACATTTAGCTTGTTCCCTCCTTTGGCTAAAACCCCGACGTATTGGAAGGCTAGGCTTTCAGCAGCTATTGTGGTTTGTGTGTGAGGATAGAAATCTAATGGTCTGGTTTGAATGTCGACCGAGTCATGTAAGTCGCACCCAGGTCATCGTGAACTGGAAGTCAGTTCTGTTTCCTCCGTTCCAGCTGTGAATTATAATTTTCTCGGAAGGGCTTGTCTTAATTTATTTGGTAGCATGATATTCAATCGAAGCATCAAGTTAATCCTGCCATATTACCAACGATTCCCACACACTGGAAGACACAAGTAAGATGACGTTGAAGCTTTAAAACAAAGATAACCTGCCCGTTAGAGGTGGTGAAATTTAGCAACTGAAAGCCTGATTGAGAGAAACTTGCAGTATTCTGTTGGGACTTTCAGTGATACTTTCAGGAGGAAACTTGCGCACAACTGACACAGTTCCATTTTCAATATTCTTTCTGATCGGCTTGTCTTATGGCAATTTGGCTGGCATGTCTGCGGAAGAAAGGCTTGCCAATACCCTCGCAAGCAGAGTCCTCGGGGTATTGCTTATGTCTCTTACTTTGAAAATTACTAACCAGCAAAGTCTTCTCAAGTTATGTCTTTCTCTTAAGTTGCGTTTTCGTGCCGCATCAAACAGTAAACATTGAAATTCTGTCAGAAGGTAATCCATGAACTACGCCGCGAATCTGTATGGATGACTTCCTTCGGCTGATAAGTAATTGTCGTGTAGGTCTTCCGGAGAATAAGCGTGCAATTTTCTTTCAGTTCTAGGTACAGATGGCACTTATCCTAGGTGGCAAAGTCATCACTCCAATGCGTGTACATATAAGGTCAAGCCGAAAGCAAGGGCTCTCGGGCTCGTAAAAACGCTGCGTCAGTTAGGAACACTAATGTTTATGTTGCGAAAATCCAATGCTATACACGTGATAAGCATTTAGGAACCCGCCTGTTTTGGTGGATGCGCATATCAGCCAATGACCTCGCAGGTCTCGCTTGATGTCTACTGCAGGCCCAATCACCCCGCCCTGTAGTTGCCTGATGTTTTGTTGAGCTCTCCATTCTGCATTCATTCAAACTCGTATACACTCACCTTGGGCAAAATTTGAGCTTGAGCGATGTCCAGCTACAACTATCAGCCTATCGACCCAAACACCAACACGATCCGCCTTCTCCGCTTGTTTCAAGATCGGCGATACTACAATGACGGGCTGATCTGCGGTGAGCTATTCGAGGCAGAAATCCCGCACGATCGGGATGGCACCTACGAGGCGCTTTCTTACACTTGGGGGGATCCAACACGGACCAAAACAATTACCATCAACGACCAGAAAGTGGCTGTCACAACCAATCTGTACGATGCGCTTTTGCATCTCAGGGACCCTGAAAAGGATCGAATTCTCTGGGTAGACGCTTTATGTATCAACCAGCAAGATGCTTTCGAGCGCACACATCAAGTTGCAAAGATGAGCGTCATCTATCAAAAGGCATGGGCTGTGGTCATTTGGCTCGGAAAGACAACTAGGGATATCGAACTACTTTTGGAAGCTACCAAAGCTTTGGACAAGATAGTGCGACGACGTCCAAGACCGTCGAGTAACGCCGAACATTTAAAAGCCTGGATTGACGAAGGCCGTCGATTCATTTCAGACAAGAGAGCCATTAATCCTAACTTCTACGAAATCAGACAACGGGCGTTGAAAGAGTTGCTCAGCCGATCCTGGTTTCGCAGAGTGTGGGTAGTCCAAGAAGCCGCCTACGCCAAAACAGCCTATATTCAATGCTCTTGGATCTCAGTTCCCATAAGGGTGTTCTGCCTAATGCCTCATCTTCTGGAGATAGATATGGATGCTCGCTCGCAAGCATTACTCGAAGTCCTACCCGGCCCGCTGAGACAGAGCTCGTGGTGGAACGATACCCGAGACCTTGGCACTGTACTGCAAAAGTTCAGTTCATGTGAGTCGACAGATCCACGCGACCAAATCTTTGCTCTACTCGGTCTATCGTCCGACTGTGCAAAAGACGGCGGAGTTTTCTTGCCAAACTATGAACTCGACACGCTGGAATGCATCCAACAAACGATCTTCTTCCTGGCTTTCAGGGAAATCCCAGTTTTCGATTTGTTCCCTCTGCCAGACTGGGACCTAGAGACCTTTCGTCAAAAGTTGCCATCTCTAAGATTGTGCTTACTCGAATGGGGAATCAGCCAGAATGACAACGGTGTTCCCCTTGTACGAAAGCTTCTTCACGAAGGCCCTCGCTTCGAGAACTACCAGCAAGTATTCTCAGATGAGCTTCCATTGAGTTATCTCATTTCAAATGGAAAACCAATGGAGATGATTCAGATCTTCTTGGAACACGACGGTCTGGATGTTCGGGAGGCGAAGAACGGCTTAAGTCATGCGGCATCGTTCGATCGCCTCGATCTCATCCAGATGTTCCTAGGCCGTGAGGATGCTGATATCTTGTATGACATACAAGACATCAAATCTGCTCTTGAGTGTGCCGTGCAGTCCCGGGGCTGTGATGCAACAGAGGCACTGCTCTCTGCAGTGCGCCACCGTAAGGGAAGCCTCTCACAGGTGTACGAAGGTTTACTTCTGTACCAAGCAGTCAAGTCGGGGAACACACGCGCTATCACCATGCTTGTCCAAAATGGGGTTCATCCCGATGTACCCATCCCCCACGACGAGGGTACGGCTATGCTAGCAGCTACCGATCACGAACGCACAGAAGCGCTAAAAGCCCTTGCTCGTCTGGGGGTTGATATAAACGAAAAGGGTGTATTCGAAACTCCTATATCCAGTGCAGCAAAAGGTGGTAAGATGGAAAGTGTCACCTGCTTGTTGGGCTTAGGAGTCAGGTTTCAAGCCACGATCGTCGCAGATTGCACATACTGGTGGACTAATAGGGGATGCAGACCCGGACCGGAAACAGCCGTCGAGATGGTGGAGCTTTTAGCAAGTAAAGGTGAAGATCTTGAGATCAAAAATTCTTCTGGTTGGAACGCTTTGCTCTTGGCAATCAGCGCCAAAGATCGCCCCATGGTTGAGCTCTTAATCCGTTTAGGGGTCAACCTGGAAGTCGTAAATCAGAAGGGAAAGCGCGCCTTGCTTTATGCAGTTGAGTTGAACCACGTCATAATAGCAAGGCTCTTGGTCAAAGCTATGGCTGCACTCCAGCAGGGACTGCATGAACTGCCTGCCTTTTATGCTGCTATACTTCTTGGGGAGACTAAAGTTGTACGTTTCCTTGGAGACTGTAT